CTAGGATAGGACAAACAAACTATCCTCGTAAGATAGTTGAACTCATTCCAGAATATACACTTTGTGTTTCAAACTGATACTTGGTATTCAATTCCTTTGTCCTCACTGTAATCTTGCATAACCTGAACATGTCTACATAGGAGTTCCCTAAATCTCGTAAGATTCCTCAGCAAAATGGGAAAACAACTAGAAGCGGCCGCTACCCAGTCGCCTATGGTTCTGAGATCACTACCTACAATAACATAAAGACCCTAATAGACAGTAACCCTGAACAAGAGCATTGCATCCATTGCCTAGTAATTTATGCCACTAGGATGACCAATTCGTCACACTACACTTTCGCGAAAGATTACTGCAAAAAACAACTAGACTAGTCTACTCAGTTAGATGATAATAATTTGTTCTCAAATGACAGTCTGTCACATACGGTATGTTGGTTTACAGGCATGATCAAAGTGTTAGTGAAGATACAGTCTTCACTGTGGTGGATTACTCAGTTTGTTTGATATTTTATAAGGCCCATAGATCACAAAAGTATGGGGTATAATAATTCTCGCATATGAATGCGCGCTTTACGGAGATTGCGTTGAGACGTGAAACTGACAGTTGGGAGTGAATCCACGCAAATTTGAGTGCTCCTATAAATCTTACGATCTGATTGTGCATAAATCATTGTGAATAGTTGTTACAGAAAGAACTAAAAATATTTAGATTATTATTCACTTACATATTCAATACCATCAACTTGACTGCGTTTCGAATATATTTTTTTATAAACTTTTCAATTTGTTTATTTGTAGCTTTGACTTCGGGCATTTTCGGTTTTAAACTGTTCTAGATTTAGTGTGTCTGAAAGTTTGCTCCATAAACCCAAAAATTGAACGTCTGTTGTTTAGCCCCCATAACAGTTATCCAGATAATATATTTGGTTTGATTGATTATTATTTACGACCAAACCGTATGTACCTAAAACGGAATTCGGTTCACTTGTTCTTTGAGTCGAAGATTACGAGTGCGAACGGGTACCATGCCTAAACAACAGACCAAACGAAAACTTGGGGACTGAAATTCTAGTTTGAACTCCTGTGCGGATATCTGTGCTGCACTTAGTATCATTCCACAGAACAAAACCAGGCTGAGTCGAGTATTTTCCCGAGTTACACTTCAAGCTGTTAATAAAACTAAAATCACGACATGTGGGCAAAAACCTTTGCTCAATACTTGGAATTTAAGAAGTGACTCCCCTGGTGTTCACCGTAGTGGATCCGTCAATACTAAGAGATATGAAGTTCCGCTCGACACTAATAAAGAAAGTTTAACACTCACAGAAAACTTGAATTACACTGAAGGCAACGAATGTTTGTAGAATTATGATCTAGTTTGGTATTAACACACTTGTCTTTGTTGTTTGTAAAATAATCCTGATGCCGAATTTGTTTTTGATTTGACAGCCTAGCACAAAAACCTTGACTCGTCCTATCGTGGCAACATGTGATACATGTTTAGCACTTCTGAAAGATACAGTTGGACCGGAGGTAGAATAAAATATTCAATTGGAATGAGGATAAGTTTCACAGAATGCTCATGCTCGCGATGTCAAGCCATGCTATACCGAACAAATGTTCCCGCAATCAACATTCTCTATCTTTTCCAAGAGTTACATGTTTAATGTCAATCTTCTAATTAATTATATGTTCGGCTTCGAGTGGTTAGGAATCAATACAACGACAAGCCAAATTGCTCCGCCAGTAACAAATGCTAAGTTCCAGAATATACTAGCGGAATTTCTAAACCCAACCAAATACAACCCTCAACCTTCGAAAAGTAACCTAAACATAAGTCGAAAATCAGGTGGCAAATGCGTTATTTCTTCCAGAAATGAATATAATTCAACAACCGACAGTAACTATCGTGGTTTGGGATACAACTAGAAGAAAGATCGAGAATTGTGAAACCCACTAGCAGAGACGAACTCTAGTTTGAAAGTAAAACGGCGACAAATACCTATTAAAGGTAGCTGGATTTGTCATTATACAACCAGGGCGATGCCTCAAACTTGCGTCCGTAAAAATATGAGAAAAATGATACTTACTAAGGAAATTTGCAAATAAAATGAAACAAATATATGACACAACTTAGAAACTGACGGGGATATTCAACAACAAAGAGACAGATGGGCAGAACGCTTTGAGGAACTCTAGAATGTACCAGCTCCACGGAACCCGTTATGTTCACTCGACATATTTTCTTCAGATTGGCAAGGAGTTTCATCAGAAATATGTGAATCATTAGGAAACACCATACCTGGTAAAATAACATGAGAATTCCGACAAATTGATTGATTATAAACCGTTGTCTCGCAAGAATTCTAAGTTTCATTTAACTCTGAACTGCTATATGACTCTACATTGACTATTGCAATCGTTGATAAAGATAAATCATTATAAATACTCGACTTAGTAGAATCAGAATCACAAGACTTAATATTAGTTGCAATAAGATGAAGATCAGTATTACAGACTGACTGAACATGTCCAATATAACCACATTTAAAACACTTGGAATTACGAAATTTACATGAATTAAAAGAGTGGAACTTGCCACAGGACAAACACTGACCAAACTTATGCCCATCTTCGTGAAATGCATCGCAACTCCTCAATGGATTATCTGCATAACTTTTCAACCGCAGGCTCCATCGCGACGCCAGTATAATATTTGAATTATAGTACGAACTAAGAATCTCAGAAATAACGCAATTGAATCTAGAATTAAGACAAAAGCACAAACGAACGTATTGTATTTGGAATTTTAAATCGCGCAGTCAACAAGTACAAAAGAATCATTAGTTCGTTCAAATACCACAACAGCTCAAAATATTTTCGTTTATTCCAAACAAATCCAAGCAGTCACAATCAGTGTGTTCAAAACTGAAATCGATACAAAGAAAGGGAATCACAAGGTTGAAAGCATGTTTGTCCATACTTGCTGACCAATCACACTTGCATTCGCCATTACACACGTAAAACTGAACACTCGTGGGATCGTATGGATATGATCTGGTTTGGGATTATTGTGTGGTTAGGAGCTAATAACACAAGTTCGCGGTCTTTCGTTACGAAGCGAAAACTGTCGAAGTGTTCTACAACTAGACATTAAGTTATATGACTGTTTAACAGTTTTCCATGTAGTCGGAGAGAAGCCGATGTGGTCAGAATAATAAGGCCTAAATATCTGAGAAGCAACCATGCCGATATATGTATTGAAAAACTCATTCACATAAGCTAATGACAAGTTGAATTCACCAGGACTAGTTTAGTAAAACACCTTGGCTGCTCTCGTCGAACAATACTGGGATGAAATGTAACCTTATCCCAAAGCATGAGTTCAAAGAAATGCTCTGGTTTACTGTTGTATCTAGGGCCTACGTTCTTGATATACTATGTACTACTTGAGCACTCGAACGCTAGAACCCTTCAAGTCGTAAATGAGAAGACGGAGGACGAGTAACAAGAAATGCTATTCTAAACAGTGTCAAACATGGTACAAAACTCCCAGGTATTTATAATTTTCAGTAAAGGCGAAATCAACATTATATTCATCCAATTCGTATACTTCGGTTTTTTAGAATTTGTCCAATAGGTAAGCTACACGTCGAGTTTCTAAAATGTTCTTCTAAATGATAATTGGATGGAACGTCTTCGGCTCTTTCTGAGCTTCTTAGAGATTCCCCGGGTTTATCCATGAACCGTCCTCACATTTACGCAAGCTCTTCGCAATGATATTAATTTTATCATCTTGCAGACTCTAGGAGTAATCTGTGCCGGAGACAACCAAAAGTCCGGAAGGAATTATCAAGTGGATAAAAGTCTGTATTTTCTATATAGTGACCAGCACCTAGAAATTTCTATGGCAGCGGTTAACATAGGTCCTACAAAAAGCCCCTTAATTTTGATCATGGATCTCTACGGTGAAACTTATGCAGTATCGCTATCCCAGAGGAAGACTTTACTTTTAGAGATAGTTACAGTTTATTTAATTGACTGTTGTAAGATTAGGCTTGATAATATTATGTTTGAACACAGACCGAACACCTATACTTACAGCACCTGTTTTACATATGCTATGAGAGTCAACTGTAGCGGTAAATAAATCCCCAAAATAAATTGCTCTGTAAGTTTTCGACATTGGATGCTGACCATATGTTTTAGTGGACTCATCTAGCTGAAGGTGCTCGGTCATGCATCCGCACCAAATCACGTGTGGTAACGCTGCACTCAACATCTACCGCAATCGCTAGCCAGATTGGATCAGAGAATTCCGATATATTGGTTATTGCCAAATACACTCTTCCGATCTCCTCGACTCTGTCTTTTGATTTCTCTAGGTGGGTACAAATTATATTAGAATATGTTGCTGGTAAAAGCGTTGTCAAACACTGAATACCTGTGTCATCTTCACAACAAAAGTTTTTAGACTACTTCACTTCATAAAACACACTAATTTTCGCCCGCTTGAGCTTAACCGTTAAAAGTTTTCGATCGTTCCTCCTCGCTTTGTCAATAATTTTCGTTGAAGTGTACATTTTATGTTGAGATTGAGTTCAAGCACCATCAGGGAAATACGGTATCCATTTGAATAAGGATGTGAGAAACATAGAGTTGTACTACTACTGTCTTGGAACAAACAATATGGGAACTGCCTTTATATCATGGGTTCGGAAGATCGTTATATCCTGTAGAGGGCAATAAAATTCAGTCACAACACCAAAGTTCAGAGCAGCATTCGCTACCCTGAGGCCGAGGATATCAGGTTAGGCTGTATATTTGTTTTCTACTACTTGAAAGTAGTCAACTCTTGAACTCGTACATATCCTCAAGTGGCTCGATAAAATTTTGCGGAGTCACTCAGGCGAAAACCTTCGATCTTCCAGGGAACATAAATTAATTTGACAAACTTTTCTCTACATGTTTTCTTATACTAAAACATCTTGAGAAATCATTTTTCCATAATAATAATCAGAAAACACACCGCTCCCGAATGAAGCATCCGCTTCGCGTATTACCATGCAAAATCATTCTAACGTGCTGAGTGTTCTTCTTTTCACATAAGCCTGAGTAAAAAATTCTGATCAAGAATAATTTTTAATCAGGAGGGAGTTTGAGGTAGTCAAGGTCATTTTCTGATTTTGTTAATACTCGTTTTGCTTCACTCTCGGTGAAATACGTATACTGATCAAAGCTATTTGTGACTGAATCCTTACCGAACATCTTACTAGCCCAATTGTTCCAAAATACGTATGGTAGTAAGCCTTAATAAACCGAATAATAGCATCTCTAAGCTACTTGGTGTGCAAATTAGTTGTGAACTTACGAATGTCACTAATCTAAGTCCTTCATGTGATGATTTTCGTTGGTATTTAAAGGTACGAACGTTCGAATTATGATCTCGACCTAACAACGAATAGGTAAAGTGCGGGAACTGCGGCGAAAATACTCATGATTACGTATACATTAACAGTGTAGTAAGTTGGCGAGCCAATGTGCTCTAATAATTTCAGGAAAAGACACCAATTCAAGACAGTCGCGGGGATGCGAATTTAGTAATCCGGTGTAAATTTTGTAAACGAGTTTCAAATGCTGGTATGCAGTCTGTTTATATGTTGTGCATCTTTCAAACTTCAAGGCATGAGATTCAAAAAGAGGTTTATAATTCACTGACTGCTTATTGCTGAGTGGAACTTACGTCCCAGCAAAAGCTCATCGGCTTGTTCCACTTGTGGTCCACGTAAATACTTATTGTAAAGCGACTTGGTGGATGGCTACCACGGTTCACATTTCTTGCCATTTTTCACTTAGACCACCGTACCATAGTTTGTGATAAATCGTTCCATTGAGTTGATAGTGAAATCTTATAAGCTTTCAATGTTAGCATTCCGACCCTATTCCACGTAAATGTTATGCACATGTAAATTACGTAGTAGTTTTCAACTTTAGTGATTTATTCAGTTATTCTGGAATCCACAACAACCCTATCCACACTTGTGCCAAGCTATGACCAAACATCGACTCAGAGACTACATTTTATGATGACTTGAATATAGACACGACTTCGTGATGTCAATGGGGCTTGTTGTAACGGGGAATGTTTCTTTTAAAAATTACATGTAGCGTAAGTCCAAACATGATAAAACATAAAGCAGTGCTGTTTAGCCCTTTATTTTTCTTACAGTTGTTGCTACGTTTTTGGTAACTAGCGTAGTTGTACTGTTGGATTCCTGAAATTCTGCTGGATAGACGAAATAGATTTTGAAGCCACAACTCATTGTTTTATAGTCAACAGCCTTTCCAGAGAAAGTAAAGCAACTCATTAATCATATAAATATCCATTTATTCAGCCTTGAATCGCAATATGTAAGTGTTAGTAACTGTTGGGATATTCAGGAAAATATCCCAAAGATTATTCTGCTAGTCCTAATGCTATCCTTGGACATGAAATGATATCATCTTATTGGTTAATATTTATTTAACGTGTTATTTTCCTGTTGGCCAATATTGTACAATGTTATTTTCTACTTTGTGGTACGATGTGGTTTGTTTGCTTGGTATATAAACAAGGTATGTTTGAAATATAATGATTCATATATCCGAGGCTGTGACTTTCGTTCTGGACTCAACTGGCTGGGTTAGACAGGGAAGCGAGACCAATCAGAACCCTAGGCCGTTCTACGTGTTTGTGCGTCTTTGGTCCGATCAATAATTCGCTATCCCTTAATCAGCATTTATTTTTCATGTTATAACAGTAACACTCCGACTGATGTTATTAAAAACATGTTTGTATGTAAAGGCAACCAGTTACAAATCATGTACTATAACCACTAAGTCATCGTTTTACAATAGTCTGAAATACTAACCTGGTTTTCCAAATCTTTTAAGCCAGTTAAACTTTGCAAATACCTCCAGGTGTATGCAATACGACTACCGGCTACCATAAAGTTTGGTCAGTTTGTTCTCAACTCACAATTTTAGTTAAGGACCAACGAAACATCTCGAATCTTGGGCCGGTAAATGCTTTTTAAATAAATAGATCTGCTTTTTGCTCAATCATTTAAGCGGCTATTTACCGCCTATTTTGCATTTAGTATAATATAGACTAACATTTTTTATGTATAAAACTGCAGTCATTAAGACAGGTTGTTTCCATGTTCCCAAATTTCAGATATTATTCCTGGTAGCATACTTCCATACTCACTTGACGATTCTGGTCATTTCAAAACCATTGCAAAATTTGACTGTCGTGGTTTAGAATTTACTGAGTTTTCTCCTCGTTGTGGTTGGTCTGCTTCAAGTGTCAACTCCGATGCGGTTTTTGATGACATCTCATTAACAGATGAGGTAAAACAGTACAATGCAAATAATATTATATTTAGTTCCAATACCATTGAAAATGATCCTAATTATTTATTATAAAGTTTATTAGCATGTTACTAGGTCCACCATACCCACTATAACTGTCTGTAAACATCAAATGTTTTTGTATGTACTACTGTTTCCATGTTGATTGCCTACTCGCCTCAAAGAGAAGCAACAACTTTAGTCTCGCTGGTAGCTACGGTGAGTTGCACGTTGTGTAAACACGTATGTCTGCTACTGTTACTTCAGTTGACTATAGTTCTGTACCGCATGTAGTTAATTTCTTGATTATTTCTTAGATCAACCACTTATTTACGTGTAATTACTAATCTGATGGACGTAAATAGTTTGTATTCACTAAAAACGGATCCTTAACTTACGGACAATGTAAAAATATTAAGCTCACGTTTTTTATGCATCTAACCACATTCCCAGTTCATTTCGTTCCGTAGCACTGCTTATAATAAAAGTTTAATAACAGTTTTTGACTGTATTTAAATGAACCAGTGTACGTTCTAAATTTACTCTCTAATCTTACATTCTTATTTCATTCGTGATTTTCTACCCTGTTTACTCTAAATTTCATCCATCAGCACTTAACGTGTTATATTGGTGATTTTATCGAGTTCATGATTGCAGCTTCAGGTTAACTAATTTGCATCTTAATTTGTGCAAATAATCCTGTATACCTTATGAGCAACATTGAAAAATGTTTTTATACCGTAGCTATGTAGTTAATGTTTTGTACAAGTACCTAGTCTACCTAATTTTAAACTCACCAATACTTTATGAGGTTGGATACCTGTCGTTTTTTACTTTGATCATTTAATACCTACCTCATAATCGTGGTGATATTTATGTCTGTAATAAGATATAAAGTGCACCTAAAGTTTCACATTTTATCATTATCGTTGTAAGATAGTTAATTGTGGACAAAAATATGAAAAAAATACTAAGTTATTACACCGAGTTTCAGTTTGATTACTCATCGAAATGTCCGTCGTTGATCAGAAACTTTATTCATCACATCTCTACAAAGATATTGTTACTTAGTGTCCAAAGGTAGCTTAAAGTACTTGTTGTGTGGTCCGTTTTGTTTTGGCGATATGTACTAAAGGTTTTCATATACTATTAATGAATAAATAATGCCTCGAACATATTCCATCCACAAAAGTCATATTTCATTGTAAGCTTATTTTGAAGCATAATGGAAGTGACAGTGTGACACAATGGTGATTATTGTTTAATATAGGATTCTTCTATGCCGCTGAGTTAAGAACGATAAAAACATACGAAGTAAATTTAGAACGACAGTAAATTCACGCCAATCGCTACGACGCAGCAGCAAGATATTTCTTGTGAATGACTATCATATATTTATGAGGTTGGCTTCAGTGTTCACTGTCTTAGATGAAGAACTTATTGCCTATCAGTGAAAAAACACCAGATAGTCTCCCACACTAAAATACTTCAAGTGATTTTGAAATTGCTACTTGATGACTATTAATCGGGTACACTTTCATTTGTGTAAAACATACAAATTCTGGTATGTTATAAGGTGACAACAGTGACAATCTACAAGTGTTAGGCGTTACTTGTTTTAAAGCTTTCAAGGAGTCTTCGCTGGTAACACTCGCCTCTAAGGGTTAAGATTGAACCAAGAATGACTGTTTATTAACTCATTTGCTAAGTACAAATCCGTATACTTGACTATTAGGCAGATTTTAAGCGTAAGGGCTGGTAATACTATCTGGTTACCCAAACCGAAGTAGATGTGATGAGGTTAGAACCTGTGGCGTAATGGTTAAAAGTAGGAGACCCTAACTTTTGGATCACCGGATTATCGAAAATGCTAACTTTCAAACCATTAGTTTAGGTCTGTATGATATTTCCAAACTAATCTAAATTAAAACGAAAAGTAATTGCAAATTGACAGCAAAACAATTTCCTAAAAATTAACTTGTAAAAAAGAAAAATTATTTAAGGAAATTATCGTTTCCAATAATTTTTTCATCAGTCTCTACTCAGTTATAAATCCAAAACTGATCACTTTTTGTGTCACAATAGATAAAATATCAAAGTTGGATTAATCCATGTTATAAATTGAAAATACCAAAATTCGGGTCTATTGAGTCTTAAATGATACAAATTACTGACAAAACAAAGTAACATCATTGTTAATGTTGAACAAATATTATACATAAAAGGTAAGGAAAATTAGGGCTTGATTAAACTGACGAATTCTAACCAACAATATATTGTAACAAAAAAGAAATGATAATTTCGGATTGATAACTGTGTAAAGCCTGATGATAAAGTTATTGAAGACTATTGTTCACTCTAATACTCCTTGTCTTTATAAATACTCTATGGAAATTTTGAAATTGATACATAAACCTATGAAATTAAAGAAATAATTACGTTTTTGACATTTATTACTGTTATTGTGTTTGCATTCACTCATTAATTCGTTTTTTTTTTGTTTCCAGATTTGGTGTGATTATGATGAGAAAGGTAAATGTGAAGTCAGCATACAAAATTTTCAAAGTCAAATAATTAAATTGAAATGTTAATAACTGAATATTTATGATCTGTTCACCTTCCTGTTTGTATTATGTATATTATTATTGAAAAATAAAATACTCGTTTTGTTCTTGCCTAAATTATTGATATAAATTTATTCATTTTAAACTTATGGTATCAATGGAGTTCCAAAGAATTTCAATATCTTTTTATGACAGGAATAAAATTAATTCGACTTGTTATAAGAAAGAAAATAAAGATGATCGCTGTAAAATATTTATTAGATATCAAAACTAAATTTAATAATTATAACCCAGAACTACCACATAAAATGTAACACATATACATCGATTCAAGTTGATATACTACTTTAGTATAGTGAGATGAAATTATTTCAAGATAAATCCCAGAGTAGTAGAAGTAGTAATAATATTGGTAGTAGCAGTAGGGAAGATGAAGTATAAAATACAAAATGTATGAAGGGATTTTTTAATTTGGTTTCAAAAGGAAGACAAGGAGTGAATGCACCAATGTCATTGAACACAATTCTAAGGCTTTTCCCAAAGTATGACCTTTGGTTACTGTATTTATGCGGACTTGAAATAGTCTCCACGTATTAATGTTTCTGGGCCCGATTGTCAGTGACAATGGACTGCTGACATGTTTTGGTTTGGCCACCCCTAGCTTTCTTCCAGTGTACATCAGAAAACGCCCGTTGAGGTAGACAGTGATTTGGAATATGTGGTACATAATCCAGCCACTCCAGTTGGTGCAGTTTTACTAGCTCTTCGACTTATTTATCATCTTTATTTAGTACCCTAACCTCAGCGTTGCTCACTCAGTGGTTTCTATCTTAGAAGAATGTCACCCCAAATTAATCCATAACCAAGTGTTATTTTATCCTAACAACTATGAATAAGTTTATTGATAGGGGTTTGAATTATCCCATTGCTGGTATTTAGGACTGAATGTTGGGTCTGTTGACATTGTGCATCCTGTGCTGATTGGCTTGGTGTGATTCATCTTGTCCTGAATGTCGACAATTGGATAATTCAAACACTAATAATGATACAAACATCATTCACCTTGAACGGTTTAGTGGTTATATGGATTTGGTATCTCATCGGAAAACACATCTTTTAAGTCGAAATGTGCTGGGTTCAAGAGCCGATGCGGACATCAAGACTAAGGTGCATGGACTCGCGGGGTGCGGGACCGTGGATGCGCACTGCTGAGGAGTCCCATACTAGAACGAAACGGCCGTCCAGTGCTTCCAGGTTTTCCATGGTGGTCTAGCTTCAATTGACTCATGATTTCAGTCAGTGAAATTTCTAAAATCTCCACAAAACTCTTGATAATAATAAATTTATCAAATTAGGCGTCTATTTAAATTTTAGTTAATTGAATATTTATTCATTCATCAATAATTGAAGAATTATATGAAAGGTTAATTTATTATTATAGATTTGGATTTATTGATCTATCTTAATTAAATCGAAAAATGATTTGTTGTAAAATAGAAGACCATCAATGAAATGGTCAGGTTCTATGTTTGTTATATTGAGTTAATTAGGAATGAAAACAACACTAGCAGAGAAAAAATTTAAAGAGGACTTTCTTTCTAAAAAAAAAAGTGAGTAGGAGTTGTGATAACTAAACAATAAATATGTTGATATTCAGTAGCTGGAAGAAGTCGACTTGATAAAGTTCGGTTTTGATGATTAGTCAACAGTGTAAAGTTTTAAACATAAGATATGCCAAGTTCTTTCAAATTGATGATGTGAAATGTTGACATTCACTGTAAAAAAACAAAACAAAACTGAGCTTGGTTCATCATTTTTCAATTCCTGTTACTACTCCGACTGCTTTTGTTTTCCTTTCTCTTCTCACTTTCCTCTTCCGTCAGTAGGAATGCTCCTTCCGATTCCTGATACATACTTCTTATATCTGTCCGTATACGTAGCACACGCCACAATACAAGAAACTGATCTTTATCGTTGATGATTCACCTAATCAAGGGTTTACACACGTGTTACACATTTTGGATGAAAATAACCTACATATCTATGATCCTATTATGAAATTTTAATATGATAATAAAATAAAGAATATTATTTTCAAAAAACCACTGGTTTTATCAACCCGTTTCTCAGAAAACACAGAACTTACAGAGGCAATTCAGGATACACACATCCACCTATTCGGGACTTGTAAACTGGATGTGTCTGTGGTTATGCCCAAAAGGGAACTCGGACCCAACATCTTTTTCTTTAAACGCCCATGGCGTGGTCTACTTAGTTTGGTGTAAACATCAAGACTAGGACGCAGACACACCTAGCTCACGAGTCACGAATAAGACAGAACAAGAGTACTGGATTTCAGTGTTAGCCACATCCTACATGTTTTATAAAATCTTGTGACGTAAGGACTATGTCGATGAGATACTCACAGGATGCACATATGCCAACCAAGGCTAGATAAAATTTAGTCAAGAATAATAAAAATGAGATAATCCAAACCACGACAGATTGAATTGAGTTTTTACAATTAAAAACTAAACAAGATGATGGTAACTGTTCAGTTGTAATCATTTCCCACGAACGATATTAACAATCAGGAATAGATAATCAACTGTTTTCGGAATGGACAAGTAGAAACGGAGCTAGCTTTCAAGTTATTGAATTCAGAAGTAATAATGCACCGAATCTGTTCTTATCTTCAGCAGCAATATACCAAGTTAGTTAGTCACACACAGTTGCAGAAGAGTACTCTTGAAGACTAGCTTTTGGATGCAATGACTAATTATTTTAGTGTAATGATAGGTTGAGCGGACTTAGAAAAATAACGTGATTGTCCTCACATACCATCCCAAAGTTAAACAGAGGATTAAAGGTGATAAGTAGCGTAATTGGATGAAGCCAGTTATACACTTAGTTAAGTTCCTAGCCTGTATATCCTTGTGTAAGTTTGAACGACAAACCAATAATCTGTATGTTGTTCATTATGTTTACCAATTAACGTTCCTTAGTCACCGCTCAGAATTTTTCACTTACATAGCAGTTATATAGATCACTTGTATATATATCAATAATACAGAATGTAAAAACAGTGATATGTAAATTGCTAACTGAAGTGCTTTTACTTATCTAATTTGTATAAGATTTAGGACACGCCAAATTCCGTTAAACCGCTCTTAATCTATAAGATAATTATAAGTACACTGCATATAACCCTTAAAACCATAAAAGTAACCACCAACGCTTCCTAACAAATTTTCAAACCAGATTATATCATGTTAAGAATGTGAAACCCCCAAATACACAATGTATGAGGAAGAAAATCAACCTTAAAATTTGGATATTGATCTAAGATGATTTTTATTCAGTTAACAATCAGCGTTGATCATTCACTATAATTTTATTTTCAAGTGACTATTTCTCAGTTTGATAAATTCTATAAATGATAATCATTGAATTCAATCAGCATGTAATTATATTAATTTGGATGTAAATTAATCTTCATAAGTCCCTTTTAATAAAGCTTCAAAAAAGAAGCATAGATTTCTATCACTAGTTTACGGGAAGATAAGAAAACATAGACAGTCTCGTTGGTGAGACTATAATTTATGGACGGCCTTTGAGCGACGCTGAAGTGACGTTGAGAGTGAACAACTACTAATTAGGACTAAATGAGGGTTATAAAGCAGTTAGAATTCTCATTTACAGTTGATGGTTAGGGTTAAAAATTAGATTTAGGGTTTTCATCACGAATTAACATCAGCTATAATGCCAAAACTCTATTTAGCCAAATGTATGGATGAATTCCGCGCCTAAATTCGTGACTTGTTACCTTGTATCTAATTGGTTCGTCCATAAATTATAGTCTCGCCGTCTCGTTCATCATTATAAAAACGTGAGTTGAGAATCCTTAGGTTACTGTACAAGTATATGATTGACTATTTAACAACAATTTAAAAAAAGTTCTGAATTACATCACAAAACTATTATTTGAAAACAACTATTTAAAGTAGTCAACTGAATATGAAGTTAACATTTAAGTAAAATAAATTGAAATTAATATTTCACATAACAATTATGCATTCTCACCTATACAGTTCAAAAACTACTTCGAATCAACACTTTTGACTATGACATAAAACAATAGATAAGGATTTAAATACTGAATACAAGTCGGACGCCTTTATTTTATTACCAATTTTCTTTTACGCTTAAGTCCCTACAACTGAATGGATTAAACACACACACACAACACATGTACACTACTAATAACAATCAAATGTATTGTTTTGAGAGAGAGAATCCACTTAGAACAGAAGACTTATTTTAGAAGTCTACAGAACAATTCATAAACTATAAATATTACATATGGATATTATTGAGGTACATGTGTATTCACATAGACAATATCACAGTGTTTCTTTTATGTAGGTATATAAACAATGTTAAATATATCACACAATATGGAAGAAAGAAAACAAAAAAAACAAACCCACAAGTACAAAAGAAAGAAAAAACTGAACTAAAAATTACAATGAGTAACTGATAGTTCAATACATAAACACACAAAATGCTGAAAGGATTCGAACCGGAGTGTGAAAGAATGGAATAACAATAGTGATGATAAATTGACATTAGAAAAGTATACAGATATGAACTATGTGTATATATTATTAGTAATGTAATAATATCAGACTGAATTGAAAAGAATATTTTTGCAATTCAAAGAAGAAGAAGAAGAAACAAACGAAAATTAGCACGACTTAATTACATAGATCACTTAACAGTAAGCATAAAAAGAAGAGCACACAAAACCAATACTTGAGAGTAAGTAAACAAACAATGTCTATAACTGTATTGTTTTTAACACTGAAAATATCTATTTATTCAAACATATGATGTATACATAAACGTAATGATGAAATAAAATGAAAAACAAACAAACAAGTAAACATAGACTATTAGAAAAAGTAAGTTGTTTAATGAATATTTATTTTCAATTTGGTAGTTGGTTAAATATAGTATGCAACACAATATTAAAGGCGTTGGATTTCGAATAGACGAACATTGGTTTCATACCAGATAGGTGGAGTGACATTCCTATGAATATAAAGAAATAAATATATAAGTATAGGAGGAGTTTATGAAGTGTTCAGGTCTCATAACTTACACTACGAATATTTTATTTTATTTGAACACATAAGTATTGGTACAAGAGGGCACCAAATATATATGCGCCACACAATATGAGCCCCCAAATGCCATGGTATGGCCGAGAGCGGGTTGGGTTCGCCCTCACCCTCGAAATACTCTCACACGGCCACGCGTATACAGTCTCTGCCAGGGAAGTCCTACTCTCTGCCTTCTCGTGGCGGAGGTGTTGTTTACGAAAATGAGAGGACGATAAGCGAATGTCCGGCGGTTTAACAGGATCACAAACCAATGGTGCACATGGGCTCCAGTATCCTGCGGGAACAAATGGCGTATGAACCAATCGTTGGTCACCGGCTACCATGTGGCTACATCTTTTCACGGTGCTCCACTGCTTTGTGGGTTAGACCTTTTGGTCAAAGGCTCGGGGTGTGGCCCCCTAAGAAAACCGCCTGTTTCGGTTTGGGCACCCGGGCAGTATCTCAGCCCGCACACAAAAACATGATAAACTGTCTACACTACGAATAGATCTTACTTAAACAACAACTGAATGTCAAGAAGCACCGAAGGACATTTGTCCCGTCTTACTACGGGTCTCATCATATGAGATTAAGTGTGAGATGATTATCCAATACGGATAATAAGAGATAGCCACGCAATATCACGAAATGATTGAAGTCATACGTATATAACATTGGGAAACCCTTATTCTAAACCAATGGTGCACACGGGTTCCAGGGTCCTCAGAAGACAAATGACAGATGAACCTATTGTTGGTCATCGACCATCATGGGACTACATCTTCTAAAGTTCCCCCACTCAATTTTTTGTGGATTAAACGTTCAGGTCAAAGGCTTAGGGAGTGGCTCCCTAAGAAAACCACCTGCTTCGGTTTGGGCGCCAGGGTAGAAATTTAAGTCCTCACACAAACCGAATGGTGAAATGTGGCGTATAGATATTTGGTGCCCCCTTGTACTAATATTTATGTGTTTAAATAAATAAATAAAACAATAAATCTTAACTGGTAAATGTTGAAAGACAATTTTAAAAAATAGATTCTATTCATCAAATAAGAATATAACAATCAAGATGTTAAA